AAAGATCAGCATTTATCTGAAATAAAAAGCTTTTGTAACATTATACACTATTCCATTCAAAAGCTTGGAGTCAGTATGATTTCTTTCTTTATTTATTTTTTTGGAAAGAAATTATAGAAATGAATACTTTTATTTAGCAAGGATGCTTTAAATTGATCAAAAGTGATGAACTTGTGTGAACCACGGACCTTATTTCAGGGGATTTAATCAAACTCCCATTCAAAAAACCCATTGACTCTGGGACGATGGAACCGGACGTGCTAAAATGCTAACTCGCTTCCGGGTTTCTCCGGGCCTACAAAGTGATGTCATAGTTCCACCACTCTATTGTGATGTCTATTCTAAGCCATTATATAGTGATTCACAATTTATCCAGAATATGCATATCTACTTTAATGGGAATGGATTTAAAAGCAAAACAAGAGAGGGTTTACTGTAAACAGCTAAAGCACAGCACACTAATTAAAGTAAAAAATATTTCAAATAAGAAAAAAATATCTATAGTCACACTCACAAATCAACTAGGCATCGACCCCTAACTAAAATGCACATACATGTGTGTATAAACACATATTCAAACATTTTAGAAAAGGCAACATCTTGAGGATGACCAGGCAGTCAATGCAAACACTTGCACACATATTCATGACCAAATAAGCTGGATGTTTATGTGCAATAGTGATATCCAATTCTCGAGTCTGTGTGAGCCTGCCACCTGAGATTTGCAATGAACAAATTTGACTACACCAGAATACACTAGGTGCCTCTCACTAGACCATTGCTGAACCAAACAACTTGTTCAAAATGAATAAATTAAACCTACAGGCGGAGCTTTTGGTCATGTCTGACTCAATGGTCATGGTCTGCAAAGGCATCCTCCCTCTATGTTCTAAACAACAATGGCATCTATTCACGCGTGATTTTGTTACCACATATTTGTCATTATGCAACAGAAGCTTGAGTTTCAAGATGTTTGCCTGAGGTTATGGATTACAGGTAATAATGATGTAAATAATGTTCAGATTCTTGCACAGACTGATCGTTTCACTTCATATATTGCCAGTGGCCACAAATATAAATTTTGTGTTTCCTATATTGGCTTTTTTGACTCTTAAAGCGACGGCACCTGCAGACTTACATATTATGAATAACCAAGGACCATGGTTTCAGCTAAAAATCCTCTTTAGTGTTCTATGAAGAAAGAAAGCCATCATCTTCGATGGCCAGAAAACTTTCATTTTTGGGTGAACTATTTAGGTGAACTAGTGAATAAAATGTAATAATCAGCTATTTGCTTTAGCACATATGCTTTGTTTGACATAACATATCAGCATAACATACACTAAGTTGTTAGAAATATGTATAGGTGACGTAGTCAAGTGATGACGTAAAAGAACCAAATAAGCTTTTTTTAATGGGTTTGATGAAACGAACCATCCGAAGGAACCGGTTCACGGAAAAGAATCGGTCTTGCAAAACACACACATCCATACATAATCCAATGACTTAAAGCTTATAAACTACATAAATGGCAGTAGCCCACTGTGCAGGCATTTACAAGAATAAAATCCGAAATCCACTTTAGAAGTCCTTAAAATCCCCACCCACCTCCACACTGGATTTACCAGGAGTCTGCTGTCAGTCAGAGCACCGGGTTTATATACAGACGAAACGAGAGGAGGGGAACAAGCAAACCATCCTATTAACCATGATGAAGTAATAAACTGTTACTTATTGGAATCATCTGACATTGTGTACCACCACCACTTACATCTGTCAGAGAGATCATTCTGTCACTTCTAATGAATATCGAAACTCGGCCTTGGTTATTTCAAATGCACATACACACACAAAAGTCCCTGGGATGCTTTTTCAGACCATGTAACAAGACAATGCAGTGTAAAGACAGCTCGGGTCTCTGAGGAATACGTCTTACTGCATCATGATGCATTGTCCCTGCAATCTTTACATACTGTAATTGTGGACTGCTCAAAGCAAATCACCGCACAGCAGCAATTACATGGTGCACAGCAGCAAACCTGCATTCAATCTAAACTCTGGTCAATATGATGAGGCAGCTAAAACTGCAACTACACTGCCATTACAGCCCAAACAGATTCAGACTTCTTCGAGATTCTGTCGAGCTTGAATTATTAGAGCAGGAGTTGAAAGCAAGGACATAGAGGGATGCTCAATTATGCATTAAGAAAAGTGTCTAAAAGATGGTCCAGCCTGAGTCCCAGTGACAGCATATCAGTCATAATGGAGACCAGCCTGCTTCACAGGCTGTGGGATACTGGACTGTAGGATGCCATAACACATGTCATCAAGGATTCTAATTAATGTGACTAAATAATGCAACATGCAATGCATTGCCCAGGTTAGAAGATGATGAACAGATAGAAAAAATGCGCCATGCAGGGACTGATGATGGACCTGAGATGTTGATGGGAGGTGTAGGTATGTCGATTAGAGGTGGAAGCGACACTACACCTGCTCAAGTTATTCAGCTTTATGCATTAAACAATGCCATCAATTATATAAGTGTAACTATAGTACAAATGCATATTTTCTGCACAGTTAAACACTGCAATGAAGAAAGGCAGATGGAATGAGCTTTAAAGCAGGCATCGACAGAAATGCAAACCGCTTCTCCGCTTGTGCACTGACCACCTCGTCTATTACAGCTCAGTTTTGAAAATGACTGAAGGAGAGATGCACGGAATCTGCCGATAAATGACAAGCAGCGATGCGCGCGCCAGATGTTAGCAACGCTTCATTGGAGCTGCGCGAAATCACCAGTACTTACCGCAAAACCGCCGAAATGCAAATTATTCGCGGAGATCGATAAATCCATTTGTAACGGAATCACTGGATAACATTCTTTCCAAAGGTGTTTTCACGCGATGAACGGGCGGCTCCGGCTGGGTCTCGCGCGCTTCCATGGGCAAGAGGGTCAGAGCGCGTGACGTAGCCGCTCCACATAGAGAGACGCTGTTTCAGGGCATTTAAATGTGTTGCCATGTAGTCGAACAGGAGTTGATTAAAAAATATGGAGTTCCCATCGAAGTACGTAAAAAAGACGGTTACGGAGCGAAAACAACAAGCCCTAAATGGTCACACGAGTGACCATCTGCTTATAGTGCGCATAAACGCCCACAAATTGGTTACTTTGAATTGCTTGATATATGTGTTTAGTCTTCTGTTGGTTGGATTTATGAGTATTCGGTTTAACAAAGTCCACATAACTTTGGGGAAGACTAGCCGGCGCATCATAAATATTTTGTATGATAATAAAAACACGATTTTCTTGAGGCTTTTTTTTCTTTTTTCGAAATGAGCATTAGGCAACATTGCCATCGTGTGGATAAAAGGGCATCTCCCCTTAGGAGTGCTCTAAGTGCTTCTGTCAGATTATATAACATCTTTCACTGCCCGATCAAATTATATTAGCCTGTATTATATAAAGCTGTATCTGTAAATAAATAATAATAAAAAAAACTAGGCTTCGCAATTAGTTTAGCTATTTAATCAACACAAATGGCAGTCTAGAAAAAAAAGAGAAACATTTCCCACACATTACGTAATAACAGTTAAAAAGGTGCAGGGTAAGCAAAATACCGGTTCTGCCAGACGGAGCACCAAAGCTTTTTGAGCTCAATTCAGGACTCCTTCTGCTTTACCCATCAGGTGTTTGGACCTCATCTTTTAGCTTAAAGGAGAGCCTCTTCTCATGTTCCGCCAACTAGTCACACACACCGAGTCTTGGACCTGTTAGAAGCCAGCCAAAGTCCAGCATTCAGGGCTGTTATGAGAACCTGTGGGACTATTAGTGTTTTTCAGGCGTCTCGTCGGTCACACTGTCCATACCTTGCATTTCAAGTCCATCTTAATCTATCCAAAAGGGCAGTGGATCCCGGCAGTATTATGCATACAAAATATGCACACTGTTGTAAAATTGAACATCTTGTGGTCAGAAACTCCTGTTTCTTATCTCCTCTGGTTTCTTCAAATACTATAGTAATTTATAGTAAATACTATAGTGTTTTTGAACCATACTATAGTAAAGTGAATGATACTGTATATATTATAGTATTTACAACACTTTGTTAATGAATGCTACAGCATACTGTAGTATTAACTATAGTGAACTGATAAACTGTAATAAATACTGTAGTATACTTTAGTTTTTACTACAGTAAACTGTAGTATATTGTAGTATAATATACCCTATAGTTGTAGAAAACTTAGTACAGTATTGGGTAAAGTAATTTGTTTATATTTCTATAGTTGTTATATTACCACAGCGATTATAGAATTACCACAACAGATTAATTCAAGTACTTTACTATAGTATGGTTCAAAAACACTATAGTATTTACTATAAATGACTATAGTATTTTTTCATGTGGGGTGCTTCACTTATCTTATTTCAAACATATACTACCATTTAAAAGTTTGGGATTAGTAAGATGTTTTGTTTTTAAAAGAAATTATTATTTTCAGTGGCAGTAAAGACATTTGTAATGTTACAAAAGATTTGTATTTCAACATCAAGGATTAGGATCGTGTGACAGGGAAGACTGGAATACTGGCTGCTGAAAATTCAGCTTTGCTATCACAGGAATAAATTACATCTTAAAATATATTAAAGTAGAATAGTTATTTCAAACTGTAATCATATTTCACAATATTACTGTTTTTGTTTTTAATCATATAAATGCAGCCTTGTTGAGACTTATTTTAAAAACATAAAGTGTATGTCTTTTCATATTAACCATATTACATTGAAATATTATTACTGTTGTTGTTTTTGATTATTATATCCTCTTATCTATTCATTATTATTTAGCATCAAAATGTTTGCCTATTTTTGAAACGTTTTTACACCTAAAAGTCTGAAATGTAGAAGGCATTTTTGAAAAAGTTGAAAATCTGTAGGGATAACAGTGCATTCAACCTGTGAAACAATGACTACAAACAGTAAGTATTTTATGCACATGCAAATTTATTCAGTCATCCTTTATAGATATGAACTGACAGCAAGTGTAAACATTGTTTTCAGAAGGAAGAAACATTAAATTATACAGCGTAGAACACCAAAACAACTGAATCTCTGGTTATTATTTACTATCACATCAATACTAACAACAACAGACATTCACAATCGCGAACTCCCTAAACCCCCTTCCTGTTCTCAAAGTTCTCACTTCATATAATCATTTACTGTAAGGTAACCTTCTTGTGTGCTCATCATGCGCTCAACTAGCTAACTACTGGGCCGTAAGAACACTCAAAAGTGTTCAAACAAGAGACGTACTGTAATGTATTAACCAGCCATGTAAAGTGTAGTAAGAGTTTGCAGCTTACACATTTTGTCATATCCATTGACAATGTGAGGTGAGAAACAGCTGTTTAACGTGGCATAGGTATATCCTATCTGTCTATGTGTGTGCTATCTTTAGTTTTCTTAAGGTTTTGGCACATTATTGCGCCATGATCACTAATGTGCAAGTGAAGAATGAATAGTATGAAAATCAGCTCCTTGGTATCAATGCTTCATGCATCTAAGATGTATTTTGTGGTGCATATACCCTGTAGATTTCATTTAGGGACTTACAAATATTCCTTCCTTCTAGGGGTATGGTTATCCTGATCACAAGCACCATAGATATGTGAGCATAACACAAACAAGTCATTTAGATAAAGATGCAAAATGAGAACAATCAGATGACTAAAAAGTGTTTTTGCATAAAGCAGAGTGGGTGGTTGATTCAAAGGAGCTAGTGGATACGAGAGAACAACAATTCATGAAGAAGGGTTTTAGCTAGGGGACATCATTTTTATTCCAGTTCCTCCTCTGGTGCAATGGTGCTGGTCTGCTCAGAGGTAATACCTAAAATATCAAAGGCACACAAGTTAGTTTTACAATTATAGAAATAATTTGACATGCTTTAAGAATTTCATACCAAGCAACACTGCAGCTGCCTCCTACAGTGTATGTGGTTAACGACGCAACACAAAACTCAAACCACTCATGATGTTTTTAATAAAAAAACAAGTCTCACTTGAAGCATCATCATCATTGAGAGATTTATTCTCTTCCTCAACATAACCAAAACTTAAAAGTTTGGACATGTTCACTGGAGCTGCCCTCTTCTTCTCATGGGAACTGTAGAGACAATTATCAAATACTTATACACTAAATACATTTCAGGAATTTAATAATTGTTTTTATTGTGAATCTGGAAAATAATGTAGAGGCTAAAAATGTAAAAAGAGACATACATCTTTTTGAACTTGTTGGCTTCCACAATCTCTTTTTGGCTTAGGGAGAGCTTCTGCATCTCTGATGCAGCATGAATTACATTCTGTGTAAGGAAATAAGATGTTTATAATTTTAGGATTGAACAAAATTATCCACAATTTAATATAATGGTATAAAATGCTACTAATGCAACTTTCTTTACATGTGATTAATTCAAAATTCACAATGAATAATTCCAACCAGCAATAAAAAATAAACGTCACAAATGCATCATTAATACAAAGAAAGATGAGAAGCATGAAGGCAGAATAATAAATGACTAATAATGCAGTAAGATGATTCAGTTTCCTGTGTAAAAGATGAAAATGATAGGGAACGAAGTTAGAACCACAGATCTAACGTTACAGGGTACAGAGCCATAGCAACAGTCATTTGAGTCAGTGTTCTAAAAGAACTAGTTCTTTATAGTTAAATTTCAAACTGGTTTTTACATTTAAAAGTCTTTGTTCCGTAACCTTAGTACTTTATAGTATCTGCTTTCAAAGTATGCAACCCTAACTTGACTACAGCAAATGAGTATTTTGTCTTTACAACTAAATAGCCACATAGCAAACAATTTTATCAAATTTGTATGCCTAAAGAGTCACCATGAAAACACAGAAGATACACTATATGGACTACACTATTGGGACACCCCTTCTAATGAACAGGTTTGACTACTTTAGTCATTTCCATGAGTACAAATCTTAATGGTAAAGCATATAATGATATTCTAGGGAATTGTGTGCTTCTAATTTTATAGCAACAGTTTGGACAGGAATCTTTTCGATTCTAACATGACAATGCATCTGTGTATAAGGCAAGGTTCAAAAAGAAATGATTGATTCAGTCAGTGTGGAAGAACTTGACTGGTCTGCAGAAAGCAAAGTCCTAATCCCAGCTGAACACCTCTGGTGTGACTTTAATTGCAGACCTTGAGCCAAAAACCAAACACCAAAGACTTATGCTGGGTACACACCACAAGATAATCGGGCTGATTTTGGGCCGATTTCTCCCCTTCCGACAATCCTAGGTAATGTCCCGCCCGATTATCTTGGTGGTTCTAAAGATTATCTTATCAGATTTCCCTGTGGTGTGAGGTGTGTTAAGAGTGACTGAATCTGCTCGGAAGAACGTTGGAGGTGCCCCAATTGCGAATCGTAAATATTCAATACATATGGGTAGAGTCATTTTAGACACTTCCAAAGCTGTTGCAACAGAGATGGAAATACAATTTTTAAATACATGAATTATGTTTCCATCTATGTTGCCACAGTTTTGGAAGTGCCTTTTTCTGTTCTAAAGAAGGGGTGTCCCAATACTTTTGTCCATATGTGACCCTGGAGCACAAACCAGTCATAAGTAGCACAGGTATTTTTGTAGCAACAGCCAACAATACATTGTATTTTATGCCAAAAAACATTAGGATATTAAGTAAAGATCGGGTTCCATGAAGACATTTTGTAAATTTCCTACCGTAAATATATCAAAACTTTGGCATTGCTAAGAACTTTAATCTGGACAACTTTAAAAGCGATTTTCTCAATATTTTGATGTTTTTGCACCCTCAGATTCCAGATTTTCAAATAGTTGTATCTCAGCCAAATTTTGTCCTAACATCCTTATTTATTCAGCTTTCATGATGTATAAATCTAAAAAAAATTGACCCTTATGACTGGTTTTGTGGTCCAGGGTCACATATAGTGTATCTTGCAAAAGTCCTATATATAGTCCTATGGGAGAACATGGTCTGACCAGATCTTTATCCAAAGTCTTCATGTCAACCATTAAGAAAATAAAAAGCAGAATCACAACAATGGAAAACAAAAACAACAGCATGCAGCTTGGAGTTTTTACTCAAATGATTCAAGTGAAGATTTCTTCACTAATATGGTTTTGCAGGTGCATGGCAAAAAAGAAAGATGGCAACTGAAAGATTGTTTGTAATATGGCAGCAGGAGGAAGTTATGGGAGGGTTAAATAAGTGATGGCTATCACGGTCTTTGCTGATCCATTCACCTTTTTACCAGAATCCCAGGCTGAACAGTTATCAGTTCCAAAAGGGGCTTCCAGGTGCTGTAAGACCTCTTTAGACTTGCTGTTTCCATCAGGGGTAGTTGCTTCACTGCTGCTGTAAGCATAAGATGACATGATTGAACCCCAGTTTCACACCACCATACTGGATGAATTGGGGTGGAACCCTTTTTCTCTACACAACCCTATAATTCTTCTGAGAGAAGAATGTAGGTCCTTCATGTCACCCTATTGAACTGCTTGAACATTCCATGCTGAAGGAAAAGTTCACCCAAAAATGAAACATTTCTAAAATATTTACTATCCTCACACCATCCAAGATGAAGATGAGCTTTTTTCTTTGTTTGTTGGAGAAATTTAGCATTACATCATTTGCGCACCGATGGATCCTCTGCAGTGAATGGGTGCCGTCAGAATGAGAGTCCAAACAGCTGATAAAAGCATAACAAGAATCAATAATCGACATGTCTCGAGATCATCAATTAACATCTTGTTAAGAGAAAAGCTGCGTGTTTGTAATAAACAAATCTATCATTAAGAAGTTTGAACTTTTAACCCCTTTAAACCGTCGCCTCTAGCCTAAAATAAAGTCTATAATCCTTAATGATGCTTTCTCTAATGAAAAAGTCTGTCGCCCGGTGTCCTCTCACATTAAAATCCACCAAGATATTTGTTTAGAACTGTTTGGGGCTGTTTTCACTAGGGATGCACCGATACCACTTTTTCCAGTACTCGCCCGATACCGATACTTTTATTTTTGGTACTTGCCGATACAGAGTACCGATACTAGGGCTGCACGATAAATCGAAATGGAATCGAGATCGCGATTCGACAGAAGCTGCGATTGTCATGCGTATCTTTCAGTGAAGCACGGTTCTGTGATCAGCAGTAAATCTCCATCCGAAGGCCAGAGGGCGCTCTCGCGCAGAAACTCCAAATATGCCCCGAAGAAGAAATCCAGGAAATGCCTATCGCTGCAGCTGAATAAACAGAAGATTCAACTGCTTTCACTGATTCAACGTGACTTATAAACACACGACTACAGCAATATACGGTTTATCTGAGTTCTTATTATTATCATTTTCATTAAAATAAAGTATATTTATAATGCAATGCCTTTATCACTGCTTAAATACTATGAAATATGTTGAGTGCATTATTCTGTGTAAGAAGCCACATCATCTCACAGAAGGATTTATTTCAAACACTCTAACGTTATATTCATTGCATACATATACTTCGTAGTAGACATCCTTAACTCCATTCTGCTGTCTGTTGTTCTGTTGTCGGTGTTTCTTTGTCTGAATATGGCGCTTATCACATGCTGTGTGGTATTGGCGTTTGGTATCGTGGCATTTTAACAAGTACGAGTACGAGTACAGGAGCTCAGTATCGGGCCCGATACCGAGTTTTCAAACTGATCTGTGCATATTTCTCTCCTGATTTAGACGAGACAACTTTTTCACTGGAGATAGCAATATTAATCGATAAAGGACTCAGTTTGAAGTTAAAAACATCTGAATTATTAATTTCTTTATTACAAACATGCAGCTTTTTTCACAAGACATTAATTGATGGACTGGAGGCAAGTGGATTACTAACGGATTATTGTGATGTTTTTATCAGCTGTTTGAACTCTCATTCTGACAGCACCCATTCATTGTAGTGGATCCATTGGTTGAACAAGTGATGTAATTCTAAATCTGTTCTGATGAATAAACAAACTCGTCTACAGCTTGGATGGCCTGAATTCCTTTAAATACCAGAAGTAATTGACACATTCATAGCATCTTTCTCCAGCCAAATAATTTGTAATAAACTGAGATGATCTCTTATAATCTGTCTAGGATGATTCTTTTGATCAGAATGATGTATTTCCGAAGCATTTGGCTTCATTTATTATTTCTGTTCATAACAACACCTTATGGGCTGACAAATTCTCACCTCTCTTGATCATCAGGTGTGCCAGAGAACCAATTAGAGGGTTTGTAGGAATTGTTAGGTTTTGTTTCCACAGGGTCATCGTGACTCAGCAACCCTATGGGAGAAATGAAAGATAAGCAGGACATAATTAAAATGAATCAAATCAAATCTAATGTTGTGATTTTTTTGTGTTTATCAAGCTGATTTCACTTTTAGTAATCCTGTTTTGTGTACAAATGTCTTAACTTTTGGTAGTTGTATCAAACAATAAGTCACTAAATACTTCAAGATAATTTGTCACGATCACTTTGTATTCTATACTAAACATTTGTGCAAAAGCAGTAGGTCATTCTAAACACATGTACTTCACTTAGTTTCTTTAATAAATAGTGAGACAAGTGCATAAGATGCTATTCTGAACATATCATAAATCATGGCAAAGTTGAAGATAAATTTGAAAACAATACATTCTAGTGTGACACAATTACCCCTCTGTCCTCCTTGTTTTGCAAGTTTAACATAATCCGAGTCAGTGGCCTGAATTCCTACGCGTCTTCCTCCTTTAGTTATTTCTTGAGGAGTGGTGTCGGCAGTCGCAGATAAACCCGGAATCTGTGATGAGGGTCCAACAGCTCCATTTGAACTAGCAAGGTTAGCTGTCCTAACACCTACAATGAAATTATAATATTTGTACAATTATTTGCCTTAATCAAAAAATATTTGTGAAAACAATATTCATGTGTATTATGTGACAGCAATGTAGGCATAAGGTGGTCTGTAAAGAAGATAACAGTATAATGCGATTCTCAGAAGGACCGTTACCTGGTTTTGTCCGGCGATAGTTGGGCTCGGCAGCCATGACTGGTGTCTTAGTGGTCAGTGGTGGTTTGATAGCTCTGCAACTGCAGAAAGACAAAGTTAAGTCCTTTGCATTTATTCCAAATAAAAGGTCAGCCGAACTATTGTCCTTTAACGCGTGCTTAAATTATCCAATTAAAGCGCGAATGAAATGTCAGTGTCAGCTCGACATATTGAGCACTGATCATTTCTTCGTGTAGACAGCCGTGTATCTACAGCTACCTTACCAAAGCGAATAAATGTATCTATTACCGATCATGTTTTAAAACACTGTGGTAATTTTAGCGATTTCTCTCAGGATTTTCTTGTTTATCATTTAGCTCTCGAGTCAACCTTGTCGCCTAGTAACAAAAGCAGCATCAGGACCACAATCATCATCTGTACAAGACAAGACAATTATCAGCGCAGATTTTAAAAATAGAACTCACAGACATTGCAGATAAAAACAACATTGGAAGATTGGAACATTGATATACCTGAGGCTACGAAAAGATGTGGAAAAGACAAAGCGTACGTCGTGTTAACCAGAGCACAGAAGGGGGACGCCTAGCTTCCTCTTCTTCATCAGATTGAACTGCGCACTGAACCCGGAGACGCCTTTCCTGCCACCTACTGGATAGAGAATGATCTTCAAGAAGCGTGGAAACACCTCCTCCGCACAGCCCACAGCACAGTTTTGACAAACGCAAGAATTTGCATGTCATGTAGTATATCATTGAGAAGTAAGGATTAGCTAATATGGTTTTAGATTTTTATTAAACTTTTGTTATTAACATTTATATTAGCACGTATCCTCTTATTTATTTATTTGTTTGTTTGTTTATTTATTTATTTGTTTGTTTTAAGACAGTTTAAATATGGAGGGCCAAATTACTCAAAATTAAATCATTACATAAATGTTTAAATATATAAATAAATCGTTAAATGCATAATTAAATACACATTGGCTATAAATGCGTAAATAAATGCAGAAATATTCATTCATTCATTCGTTCGTTCCTTCATACATTAATTCATTCATTTTATACACGTCTCGACAACCACTGCCCTGAAAATGAACTGTGGAATAAATAAATAAACGAATGAATGAAGGAATATTTATGCATTTAATTATTTAAATATGTATTTAACCATTGATTTATATATTCCAATATTTATTTAATGATTTAATTTTGAGTAATTTGGCCCTCCATACTGTTCATCTTCATCAATTCTTTATTTATGTTTTAACCTATATGGAAGTCATTTTCTGAAGACATTCTGCCTTTTTATTTTATTATTTTATTTTACTTTACTGTATTTTATTTTAAAATGAAAGTGAATTGAAATCTGCTATACATCTTTAAAAATTCTCTTTTTCTATTTTAATGTACGGAAGGCTTTTTTTGACAATTTTAAATAAATTAATTTAATGATAAAAAAATGAATAGCACATATACAATTTCATTATGAGAAATTAAATTAAACAATCTAATTTTCATTTTTATCATACCTATACAATTATGTTTTTTAATTGGCAGAAAATGTCATCCATATTTATGTAGGTCTACGTTTTGATTGTTTCAGAGGTGATTTTAAACATGATTCTCCATAAATGTGCGCTGACACAGACTTACAGTAAAATCATTCTGTAGTTTGTAGTGAAGCCCCGGGGACTTTACTGTGGTCACGTGACGTAACATCCGTTCAGAGCGAAGGCGCGCGTTAAAACCAGAGAGAGCGACGTTCTCAGCAGCAGATATGCCAGCACACACTCTGAAGATGACAGCATCTGTTCAATACATAAGAAAACTGCTGGGAAAAAGCAGCTGTGCGACAAGCAACCTGTTGAACACTGGACACAAAACACAGAAGAACACTACCGATTCTAAAACCATCAGGAACAAAGATGGAAAAAGTCATAAAAGAAACGTAAGTGACTATTTTCGTATTTGCTTTATTTTTGACGTGTTTATTTTGTTTGATGTTTTAATATGATTTGATATTTCTCTAGTAATATTCTGCTGAACATGTAGGTTTCTACTAATATTTAGTAGGCTATGTAAATAACATATTAACCTACTAAATTGCTTATTTTAATAATTAACAGTGTGAAATGTTATTTTGTAGGTAGTGCAATTCCAAGACAACACAACAGAGCAGTATATACGGTAAAAAAAAAGTTATTAAGTTGCATCTTAAGCTTGTCAACCCACATGCACAACTCAAATTTGGTCTGACTCTCTCTTGCTCATGTCTCTTGGTTAACAGGAAAAGTGTCGTTTTAAGAAGAAAAGAAAATGAAACTTTTGGGTTTGACATCCAGGTAACCTCATTACCCACCCACCCTCTCTCTCTCTCATACTCTGCTTATACTTTTTTCTCCATTCATTCAAGCATTACGTGCCTGCCTGAGGGCTTATTATCTGTCAGGGGATAATTGGATTTTGGATGATGAATTGATTGGGTCTTTACTCCCTGTCCATAGACAAGCAGTGTTGAGAGAAGCATCAGTACTGAGCAGGATTTGGGCTCGTGTGTGTGTTGGGTGAAGGAGAACAGTCTGGCAGAGAGTAGTGGGTTAATGACAGGTAAGTTATTAAGACACCTGCTCACTTCTGTCGAGCACCAGTGTCATTCATACTTACTAAAATCTCTTTGTCTCTCACCTCAGGTGATGTTATTATAACGGTCAACAGTGTGTATATTGCTGGATTCACTCAGCAGCAGATCAACAATCTGGTTCAAAAGTCCTCCACCTTAATGTAAGACTCAACACTATTGTCTATGTTACGTTTTTGATGATTAATGTACAGTTATACAATGTATTTTCAGCGGAAAAAGAATATAAAAATGCTACAGTAAAAAAATGTTAGTTTGTTCACTGAAATATTTTTATTTTAATTGTTTGTGAGGAAAAAATATGAATTAGCATAATTTATGGTTAAAGTCTACATATTTAATATTTAATTAGATATAACAGGTCACCACATGTATACACACACATACCTTTTTATTAAGGTTTTATATTATTGTTATTATTGTTGTTGTTGTTGTTATTATTAAGTATTTTAATGTCATTTTTAATAAGAAAAGTAGAAGTCACATTTTTATTAATGGCCCCTTTGTAAAGCATCGCATTTGATTATATTTCATTCAAAATGTTTAATGCAGTGCTTATTGGATTGCAATAATTTTTATAATATTACAATATGTGACCACAAAACCAGTCTTAAGTGCCAATTTTTCCGAAATTGAGATTTATACATCATCCGAAAGCTGAATAAATAAGCTTTCCATTGATGTATGGTTTGTTAGGACAGGACAATATTTGGTCGAGATACAACTATTTGAAAATCTGGAATCTGAGGGTGCAACAAAATCAAAAGATTGAGAAAATCGCCTTTAAAGTTGTCCAAAT